CCCCCCCCCCCCCCCCCCACCCCTCTCGCTTCCCCATGTTCTCACCCCGCTGTCAACCCCTTCTCAGTCATCGCAACCCGCCTCCTAACAAGGCCGAGCCGTAGCTGAGCAATTTTTATAATTGTCTTCATTGAAATGCACCGTCCTAAAAAATATTGGGAGTTCGCCTTTAGTTATTTTTTTTACTTACTTTCAGTGGAAAACTTCGAAATGACCGAGCTGTTTTTCGATTAACTGATTAGCAGGTATGTCTGGGCCTGCTTGATTTTGAATGTTGTTTCGTAAAATCGTAGCAGGAGCTGATTTCCTCAGTTTACCAAGAAATTGTTCTGTAGTAATCCTGGACTAAAGCACCGATAACTGCTCTCTCTTTGACTGCGCATGATTGTTTGGAAGTTTCTGCAGGTATGGCGCAATCCATGCATCCCTTCAGGAGTGTTTAGTTCGGGTAAACAACTAGCAGCCTGATCGTGTTGCATCACCTGATGGGACTGCCTGTGCCCGCATCTCCACTTTATTTTTTTCTAGGACTTCGCAACTCGGCTCCTGCAGAATCAGCTGCTGATTGCTATTGATTGTGGCATCCGTCGCTCGGCTTGTTTTCCCCTAGCCTTAGAGTTTTCCAGACCATTGATATAACAGCTTTGTCGTGAGGAATCAGCCGATGGTTCTTTATTGATCGGTGCTCTACTCCACTTGTTTTCAAGTCCCGAATGTTACTCTTAGTGCCGGTTCCCAAACATTGATAAGTTGAATGGATTAGACAACAGATACGAAATTCTTTGTCTACTACAATTTTTGCGCCCAATACAATTTCCAATTTGAAGTACCCATCGTGGCGAGCTGAGGTCTGTACGTGCGCTAGTGGTCTAATTCGACTTTGCAGCTACGAAAACCGAGAAAATGACATTTTACTAACAAAAATCTAAGATGAACGATCAAATCCTTTCTCACTCTAATCAGTAAGAGCTGTGCATATTTTTGTACCAGTAGTGTAGAGCGAAAATTACAAAATGTATGAACTGAAACTTTAATGTTTCTTTGAATAGTGCTGAGTCGATAATCTGAATTTAGTTTGGTAAACCTTATTCGACTTTTATCCAATGAGAAGCTCAAATTCAAGCTGTTGTCATTACTTTGGAAAACAGCGTGCCACCCATAATTCTAGAATTTTGTTGGCGTATAATCCTGAACATCATTAACCGTAGGCCATGTTCATTCACTACGCATTTACACCAACTGGCCACAAAAGCGCATGATTGCATAGCGTAATGGCGTTTCTGAACTAAAGCATTTGTTTTTTAGTGGCATTTCACTTCCTATCTGATTTTGCTAATCTTTTTGGTCCTTCCGTCTCACTAAATTTTGCTCGTAGGGGAAATTTTTCTACTGTTTTTGGAAAATTTAAATTTTACTGTTCCACATTTTTCCTCCCCACAGCAATAATTTACGGGCCTAAAAGTAAAATAGCTCTTCCCTCTTCACTTGCATCCGCTGCCTTTTCATAGGCTCTTCACTGATATGAACTTATCTTATCCGTTATGCAGTGATGGCTCCTAACGTGTCTTCACCATAATTTTTTTTCAATTGCCATTTTTCGACCAGTCACCAAATCTCGACTGCGATCCAAGCATCGCTAATTAATAATTTTACACAATGTTCAGATATTTTCTTGAAAATACAGTTCCTTTCCGGGCATTTTGAATCCTGCTCTGGCGGAGGTCAAATCCGACGACCACGCAAAATGGTGAATCTAAAGGTCGCTTTGGTAAGCTTCTCGGTGAAAAATTGCACAAGTAGCGCAATTTCTACAACATTGCCGTTGCTCTAAAGTGCCTGCCGAAAAAAACGTGCTTGCCTACTCAGTATCACCGTGGTTGTAAATGCTGCAAAAAGTCGGCACTGACGAAACCAGAAAAACAAATGCTGTCTGTTATGCACAGAGTAGTTTTTGGAAGCTTGATCACAACCTTGTGTACATTTGGCGCCGCCATTTCATCTGCGTGCGGAATTACGACCAAAAGAAAAACCTAGGCTAGAACGCATCAGACTAGCCTGTACGAGCACGTGTTTTTGCTCAGCTTTTTAGACAGGTTTCACTCAGAAGCGAGTGCATTTTGCAGCGAACGACCGCCCTCATTCCCTCTCAACAATCATCCTCTCCCATCGTCCTGTTCCAGTTCTTCACAAAAAAGTGGAAATGTTGCTGGAGAGAAAGTTCGTCAAAAAATCCAAATATGCAGATGAACTGGATGCTGGAAGAGGATGAGGGCGGCCGTTCGCTGCAAAATGTACTCGTTTCTGAGTTTGTGGTAAAGCTGAATATTTATCGTACCCACCTGCAGGGAATTTCACTTCCAGGCAGAATTAGGACCTCGCACATTATCCGGTAAGCCACTTCGCTATAAATATCGATGAAATGTCCTAAGTTGTGACATAAGTGCAAATCGAACCTTATTTTATGATTTCCCTTATAGACGATAAATATCCTGAAAAAATTTCTGCCATTGTTTTCTGGTTAATTTTCGAGTTGGCACAGTACTAAGTTGCAAACGTTGACGTGGTCGTACGCGCTGCACAAGCATGCGCGACAGCTGAATTTGAAATCTTTAGTTCGCACATGCACAGAAAGTATCACTGCAATGTTCCAGCTTTCCATCTTGCTTAGTTCCCAAGATCGTTTCCCGCCAAAGAATTTTGCATATTTTTTGAGGGTCCGTATTTGAGAAGGCGCGTATGAGTGAAGATCTTAAAACGGGAGGATGACAAACGGGTGGGAATATATCCCCAAAATTTCAGCCTCCCAGCTTTCGTAGTTGCTGAGTTGAAAGTGGATGACAGAGTTCACTTGTTTCCGAACACATACACACAGACGGCCTCTCGACAGTATGCGTTTTTGCTCGCTGTACAGCAAAAACATAAAAATCCATAGAACCGCCCCCCCCCCCTCTCCCGGCTGTTGCCAATTCTATCCTTTTCCAATTGCAGTTTCTTTCCAGCCAATAACTGCTACTCCCTTTAGGGCCTTCGAGACCTAAGTCTCCCTCTTGGCTCCCTCGCTCACTTCCTCATCTTCTTCATTATCGTCCGTCTACCGCCAGTCCTCGGTTACTGTATTCTTCCCTTTCTCCCTCGCCCATTTGAAAATTGCTGAGCTTTTATAGTTGATACAATTCCTCAACAGAAATCCAGGGATTTGTAAAGGTAAATGACCGCACTTTTGGGTGATTAGCTATGCAGCTGGCAGCGACTGGTTGCATGTTTTCATGATAAAGCTAAATATTTTAGTAGCGCTTTTACCGGAGTAGTACAAAACAATAACTTCCGAAATTTGGGTACATTTTCATGCATTTTGTGCTGCAATATCATTGAATCAAGGCTGAGATGTATCAGACTTGCCGTTGCAGTCATGCTTTTTTTGCACAAAACTTGACGCAGTCGGATTGTTAATTGTGCATAGTTGTTGAATTACATTTAGCTTGTTTACTCAAAAGTGTAAATCAGGCATGGTCAACTTTTGGCGACATGCGCGCCATTATCCCAAAATTTCAACTTTCTAGTTTTTATCATTCCCGAGTTAACAATTTTCCTGTCAAAATTTTACGTGCCCGTAGGTAAGTCCTGGGCAGTCCTAGTCAGCTGAATTTGAAATCTTTTAGTCATACCTGGGTAGGAAACAGTCCCCTAAGCTTTCCATCTTTTTTGGTTCCCGAATTAGCAACTTTCCTGCTAGAACTTTCACGGGGCTACACGTGACCTGAAGGCATAACTGGGGGCTGAGTTTGAAATCTTTAAGTTGTACGTGAGCTGAGAACATCCCTTTAAAATTTCAGCCTGTTAGCTTTCCTGGTTCTCAAGTTAGCGATTTTTCCGTGAGGAAAAAACCACGCACACCTGGGGGTTGGATTTGAAATCTTTGAGTTCTATATGGTCGGGAAACACAATCTCAACATTTCAGTTTTTTAGCCTTTCTCGTTTCGGGTTAGCAATCTTTTCGCCAAAATTTTCATGTGAGGCCCAGACCTGCATGAGCGTTGGTACCGCGGCCCTGGGGTGGTACTTGGCCGGGAAACCAATTGGCAAAATTTTGGCGTCGGAGCTTGTTTGGTTGCCAAGTTGAAATATCCGGATAGGCGAACACACACACAAACGTACATACACAGACAGGATTGTTGCACTGTGCGTTTCTACAATTTGCATATATGCAAAAACGCATAACTAGGGAGACGCTGCTTACGTGCCACAGACTGTCCGATTTTGTATGTGCTTGAACGGCACTAGGAAAAAAAACGGTCACTCGAACACCGAGCGACTCAAATCGCGCATATAAGCAATGATATGACATATAAATGGGAGGTGCATTTGACGTCTAGCTCGGTCTTACGCATATCGTGAGCTTCACATTGGCAATCTCGATGCCAGACGGTTTGGGTGATTTTGATTTTTTGCAGGGTTCACAAAATGTGCGCTGCAGAATTTTTTTTTAGATTGAACAAAAAGAATGGTTTTTTGTTTAGTATGACACACTACACTACTTTGGTATGAATCGTAGTTTGTTCGAAAAAAATTTTTTTTCTTTTATTTGTTTGGATTTTTGTTACGCAGATCAATTTGCTAAAGCGCTTGCAAATCGAGGATTTGGTTTTTGGAGATATCGTGCTTACCGAACTGAACAATCAAGGCACCAGTACCAAGCAGCTTCGAAATGTAATTTTTAATTTTTAACGTTTTCATTCTAAATAATTGCGCACTTTGCAAAGGTGGGGATTATCACACTTGCTGTTATTAGTACGGCATTAGTGATGCACAACTTATCAAAAGATAGCAAAGCCAACAACAACCAGCTGCTGGCAATGCTCTTGGTGGCTCCTTTTTTCTAATGATTTTTATTCGATCTTAAAAGAATAATTTTGTGTGAAGTTGTTTAAAATGACTTTAAAAGCTTTTTTCACAAGAGCTTAATAAAAACTCAGAAACTGCAAACTGCAAAAACCATTAATGCCGGAATTTTTGGGTGATTTCAGTTCGCTGTATATCAGCTGACTTGAACTGAACTGCTAAAGCTGATCTCTATGCTTCACCTACTAGCACTTGCTTTTGTAAGAAGTTTTTGCAGAACAAATGTATTCAATCAGTGAATGCACCAGTGCGAGTCCATAAGAAAGCGCCATCATCGGTCGATGGGAAGAAGCGCAAAACACCACAGCGACAGCAGCACTGCGCTTCGCCAACGCGAAAAAATGGCGTTAGCGCCACTGGTGCGAAAAATTCAAATTTCAAGGATGATAAAGCAAGGAAGTCGACACAAAGAACGAAGAAGAATCAGACCGTTCCTTCATCATTGGCCTCAACATCAGAAGCAGCAGCAGCACCCAGTCCGTTGCAACGTCCGGCAACACCGTTGACCCCTTCACTGGACCCGGAGCTGTTGCGGCAGTTCGAAGAAGAGGATCGTCCAAAACGCGTCCTTCGATCGTCCACTATTGCAGTAGGCTGCAAGAACAATCCCAACATTTTTAGCAACAGAAGGAGCAGCATTCCTGAGCGGAAAAAAGCAGCGATACTCAGGAGACCTTATGCCCGAACATCGAAGAAGCAAAAGCTAAATAATCTGACGAGTTGCGCACTGCTGGTCAACAATGTTTCCGCTGTTAAATCATTTGGACCGCAAAAAAAACGCTACAAATCCGAAGGCGATACAATGAATGATAATAAGCCGGAAAAAGCGAAACAACGCAGGGTTTGTTTTCTTTTCATTGTCGAAGTCCCACTTCATTCTAGAGTTTTTGTTTTTTTTTAAATTCAGCTACTAGTTATGCGTTTTTGCCGTGCAGCGCTAGAGCGCTGCAACAGGCAGCAAAAACGCATATT